TTTTTTTTTTTTTTTTTTTTTTTCACCTCTGGGTTTTTGCTCTTCTCTTTCCTTTCCTCTGTATGATTGGAGAAACAGGGGAAATTGGATTTGTGAAGATTTCTAGAAGGAAGAGGCAGAGAATTTGAAGCAGCAGGGGAATGTGAGGAGGTTGTTCTGTTGTGATTCTGTGGCTTGGTTGAAAATGGGTCTTGCATGAGAAACCTTGCTGCAGTTCACCTTCAACTTCGTATTAATGGCAGCCACGGCTCTGGCGGCGGAGCCGCCGCAAGAGGTACTTTCCTGGCTCAAAACCCTACCTCTGGCTCCCGAATACCACCCGACTTTGGCAGAGTTTCAAGATCCAATTTCATACATTTTCAAGATCGAAAAAGAGGCTTCCAAGTTTGGAATCTGCAAAATTGTGCCCCCTGTATCTCCATCACCGAAGAAAACTGTAATTGTCAATTTCAATAGGTCGCTTGCAGCTCGTGCCCCCTGTTCTGACACGAGCGATTCCAAATCTCCGCCTACATTCACTACTCGACAACAACAGATCGGGTTTTGCCCGCGTAAAACTCGGCCGGTTCAGAAATCAGTGTGGCAGAGCGGCGAGTACTACACATTTCAGCAATTTGAAGCTAAGGCGAAGAGCTTTGAGAAGAGCTATTTGAAGAAATGTGTGAAGAAAGGGGGGCTTTCGCCTTTAGAAATCGAGACGCTCTATTGGAGAGCCACTTTGGACAAGCCGTTTTCAGTGGAATATGCGAACGACATGCCTGGTTCAGCTTTTGTGCCGGTAAATGCAAAAATGCTTCGGGAGGCAGGGGAAGGAACAACGCTTGGGGAGACGGCATGGAACATGAGGGGGGTGTCTAGGGCGAAGGGGTCTCTATTGAAGTTTATGAAGGAGGAGATTCCAGGAGTTACTTCGCCAATGGTGTACGTAGCTATGATGTTCAGCTGGTTTGCTTGGCATGTAGAAGACCATGACTTGCATAGCTTAAATTATCTGCATATGGGGGCGGGAAAGACATGGTATGGCGTACCTAGAGATGCTGCTGTGGCGTTTGAGGAGGTTGTAAGGGTTCAGGGATACGGAGGAGAAATCAATCCCCTTGGTGAGTTGATGGCTTCATTGAAGTGGCAAGCCACTACTCGCAATTTCCTTATCTTATAGTTTCTATGGTTACTACACGATTCAGTTTTGTTCTTGGAAGAAATATTATAGCTGCATTTGTTAGGTTCGATTGGTGTAACTTAATATGTGTTTTTAAACGGATAGCATTTTTATAAACATGCTATTGAATGTGATACTCTTCTCTGAATCATTATCCGTTGCATAAGAAGGTGTATAACTGTGTATCCATTGAACGGGATATTCCTCTGATCATCCTCCATTGCACAACAAGGTGTATAGTATATGCTATTGGCATTTGACTGTTCAAGGGAAAATTGTGATAGGTTCTATAGCTCACTTGAGTTCTTTAGGTTCGCTCTGTTACATATTGACTGCCTGCTCAATTCCTTGTCCCTGTCCATCGATGCTTACTGTGCATTTTGTTTTTCCCTTTTGCGTTTACATGGGTGTTTTTTTGTTGTTCAAAATTCTCTTCTTATCTATAATTTGTGATAGTGATGGTTGCTCCATGTGCGACCTGTAGTTAAGTTTTGATTATTAGAGTGCTTCAGGAAGTGGATCTTTCTTAGCTTTTTCCACTTCTTTCGTATGTGTGTTATATATAAGTAGTACAATCGTCCCCTGTCCTCCCCTTTTCTCTTTCCACAATCAATATTTGCTTATCATGTCAGTTTTGGATTTCATTCATAATCAGTTCTTTTTCTTTTCCACATCCAGTCACTTTTGCTGTTCTTGGTGAGAAGATCACTGTAATGTCACCTGAAGTTCTAGTTAGCGCTGGAGTTCCATGTTGCAGGTAAACCTGCATTATATTAAACTTCCTACTTCCTTTTTTTAGGTACTGTTTCTCTAGGGTAGGTACCTGAGACTGAAAACGTCAGTCATTGCAAATCGTCATACTCTTACTCGTTGATGATGATATTGGCTCAAATATTACCATTTCTATTGTTCCCTCCAGAAGTTTCTTGCATCATCATTTGATCCCACGACTAGTCAAATTTGTATACTCACCGCTTTAATTGATTTGCACCAGGTTAGTGCAAAATGCTGGTGAATTTGTTGTCACTTTTCCTCGGGCTTATCATACAGGTTTCAGTCATGGTGAGGTCTCTAGAAGCTTTTGACACCATAGTTTCATAGTGCACATGTGATTGATCTTCTTCGTTCATTTTATTTTATTTTTTGTTGAACAAAAATAGCGTATGTTTGTCGTTGTTTATACTCTAAACTGCAATTTTATCTGTTTTCATGTATTGTGTGTATTTTGCTACTTTCCTCTAGGGTTTAACTGTGGGGAGGCAGCCAATATTGCAACTCCAGAATGGGTAAGGCTTGCTAAAGATGCTGCAATTCGTAGAGCTTCGATCAATTATCCTCCGATGGTCTCTCATTTTCAGTTGCTATACGATCTTGCTTTAAGTTCCAGGTTTGTCTTTCCTTCTATTTGTAACATCCATTTGAGCCTGATGGTTCCTCTCTTTTTCAATAGCTTTCTTTGTTCTTTTATCTTCTTGGAATTAATTTCAAATCCGATGATATCTAAATACGTTCTGTTCTTAAAGAAATTATGATTCCTGTATCAAATCTATGCCCATATGCTATTTCAAAGGTTCAAACTCAGGTCATTTGGAAATCTATTGTAAGAAAATAATTTCCATTTACTAGAGTGACAGAGATTGTTGGAAATTCTTATATCATTATCAATATCGTTTTTTCACTCGATTTAACACATCTTGTGTTTTAATATTCAGATCACCTCTGTGCACGGGTGCTGAACCAAGAAGTTCACGACTAAAAAATAAAAGAAAGAGTGAAGGGGAAGCAGTTATAAAAGAGTTATTTGTACAGAATATTGTAGAGAATAACAGCCTGCTGGACATTCTTGGAAGAGGAGCGTCGGTTGTACTTCTTCCCCCAGGTTCTTCAGATTCTATTTATTCGAGACAGCGCATTGGATCCCACCCGAGAGCAAAATCTAGATTTCCTGTTGGTTTTTGCAGTTCTAAGGAAGAAACCAAATCTTCTCAAAGTTTTGATTATGATAATCTCACACTAGAAAATAGCCAGGGAATGAATCAAGTTAAAGGTTTCTATTCAGCTAACAGGCTGTATTCTACTCTCTCTGAAAGAAACATGGAGAATTTATGTGATTCAAGGTCGAAGACTTCGAATGGCAGCAACGAACGAGGTGGTAATGTTCTTAGTGATGGATTAACAGATCAAAGGCTGTTTTCTTGTGTCACATGTGGCATTTTAAGCTTTGCCTGTGTAGCCATCGTCCAACCCAGAGAACAAGCTGCTAGGTACCTTATGTCAGCTGACTGTAGCTTCTTTAATGATTGGGCTGTTGGTTCTGGGATAGCTATTAGAGATGGGCATGCAGTTAGCTCTCAGCAGATTAGTAATAGTGGTAGGTTTTATAACTAATTAAATTATAGCTGCTGGCATTCTTAAATCATTCTCTCTTAGAACGCTTATTTACCAATGCAGGAAAAAGAGATACGTGCGTTTCTGATGGTTTGTACGACGTCCCAGTCCAGGCTGTCAATCGCCAGCTTCCAATTGCAGATGAAAGTTACAAAGCTAATCTAAGTACTGAAAAACGGAATGAGACTTCTGCCCTTGGCATGCTCGCATTGGCATATGGACATTCTTCCGATTCTGAGGAGGACAATGCTGAAGCAGATGCTGCGTTAAATCCCGGCGATGCTAAACTAACGGTTTGTTCTTCAGGAAACCAATATCAGTATGACAATTCTGGTCTTACTTCTAGTGAAAATTGCAAAAATACTGCAACTTTGGATCACAATGCCTCGTCATTTGGCGTTAACACTACAGATCAAATGCACTTCCAAATCAATGACTATGAAGAATTTGGACAAGCTAGATGTTCTTCTGAGTCTGAAATGGATGGCATAGGTTCAACTAAGAAAAATGGCTTGTCGCCTAGATATCAAGATTTGCATGTGAACGACAGATCTTCCTTAGACGCTGATACTGAAAAACCAACGTTTGACGAATCCACGGAACCGGTGGAGATTGAGAATATGCCATTTGCTCCAGATATTGATGAAGACTCCTCTAGGTTGCATGTATTCTGCCTAGAGCACGCAAAAGAAGTGGAACAACAACTTCGACCAATTGGAGGAGCGCACATTCTTTTACTCTGTCATCCAGGTGCAATACTTACTCATCTACTTGTTCTTGTTGTGATATAGGATAAACGGATTGAACCCTGGAACTGTTCCACCTTCTCCACAAAATGATAGTAATTATAGTTATTAGGTTAAAATATCATTTTGGTCCTCGACTTTGGTTTCATTTTATTTAGTTTATGTACTTTCAATTGTCCAATTTTAGTCCCGGTGGCTGTTGGACTTTAAATAAATCTTAAATTTAGTCCTCTGAAGTTTATTTTTATCAAAATTTGTTAAATAATAATAATAATTTACGTGTGGGGACTAATTTCAAGATTTAGGGCAAGTTAGAGGGAATTTTTTTTAAGCAGATTCAAAAATCTAGTTCTGTACTTACATGGAGAACAATGTTGAACCACTAATTAGTGTCAATTTGTGTGAGATCCCACATCGGTTGGGGAGGAGAATGAAGCATTCTTTATAAGGATGTGGAAACCTCTCCCTAGCAGACATGTTTTAAAAACCTTGCGGGGAAGCCCGGAAGGAAAACGCCAAAGATGATAATATTTGTTAGCGTTGGGCTTGGATTTGGACTGTTACAGCATGACTGGTGTATGTGGAGGCTTCTATGTAAAGATCTTGGTAACTTTGATGTTAGTTTTCTTGTTATATGGAGCTCAATGTTAAGTTCTTCGTTTTTCTTTTAGAATTCTTCAAGCCTTACCTTTCTTTTTATGTTTTTGGACGTCGATGAGTCTCCAAGTTGTACTTGTCGCAGGGTCATCTAGAGGTATTAGTCACATTTGCTAATGCTACAACTTTGAATGACACACCCCCATTATTTTCGTTTATGCCGCTACTTTCGATATAATATTATTTCGTTCTTATTTGAATATATCAGGTACATGCCTTAGTAACTACTCGTGATTACTATTCGTAAAGTATTCTGTTTTGGATTTCTTTTATAATGGTCATTGCATTTTGTCAGTTATTTTTTACTATTATGCTGAATTTCAAAGAAAAATTGTTACAGACTATCCGAAGATGGAGGCAGAAGCAAAAGTGGTGGCACAAGAATTAAGTATGGACCATGTGTGGACCGATACGACGTTCAGAGGTGCCACCGAAGATGAAGAAAGGAGAATTCAGTTAGCTTTAGATAGTGAGGAAGCGATTCCAGGTCATGGAGATTGGGCTGTAAAGTTGGGAATAAATCTGTTTTATAGTGCCAACCTTAGTCACTCTCCTCTTTATAGTAAGCAGATGCCATACAATTCTGTTATTTATAATGCATTTGGCCGTAGTGCTACTCCCAACGCTTCTGGTAAGCCGAAAGTCTATCAAAGGAGGACTGCTGGAAAGTTGAAACGATTAGTTGCAGGGAAATGGTGTGGGAAAGTCTGGATGTCGAATCAAGTTCATCCTTTGCTAGCAAAGCGAGATCCTCAACAAGAAGATGTAGACGTCTTCCATTCTTGGACAATGCCGGATGAGAAGTTTGACAGGAAATCGGAAAATGTCCGTAAAAATGAGACTGTTATGGTGAATAGAAAATCTGCTGGCAAGAGAAAAATGACTCGTGGGAGTGGAACAGCTAAAAAGGCGAAACCCCGAGAGTCAGAGGACATGGTTTCAGATGATTCAGTCGAAGATTGTGTCGATCAGCATCATAATATTCATCGGAACAAGCGATACAAATTTGTTGAGATCAATGATGCTATGTCAGATGATTCTGTTGAGGATGATTCTTGTGGAAAACATGGAGGAGTTTCCATTAGCAAGGGAGTGACATATTGTCGAACCTATGACACCGGTTCAGAGGACTCTCTCGGAGATCGTCGTAATCAGCAGCACAGAGGGTTCTCTGGATTCAAGCTGCCGAAATGGGGTGAGATAGAACCCGCAGTTTCTGATGATTCCTTAGAGCACGATTCTTCTCGGCATCGTGAGCAACATATAAGGATTCCAAGAAGCAAGCAAACCAATGTTCTTAAAAAGAATGTCGTTTCACATGATATACGGGACGATAGTTTTCTTTGGCATCATCAAAGGACTTCCAGAAGCAAGAAGGCGAAATCAATCGAGAGTGAAGATGTCGTTTCAGAGGACTCTGTTGAAAATGATTCTCATCAGCATAGAAGTAGGCCTCAAAGGAAACCAGCCAAATCCACCGCGAGGGAAGACGTATTCTCAGATGATCCAGACGAAGATGATAATTCTCTTCTGCAGCATAGAAGAAACATGCAATTCAATACATCAGATAACCAACTTGATGATAGTGTTGATCAATACAGGAGGAGAGTACTCCGAAGTAAGCCAGTCAAGGCCGAGACAATTTCTCAAATGAAACAAGAGATCCTGCGATCTGCGAAGCGAGGAGCCTCGCAGACTTTGAAAGAAGAATTTGCTCAATCCTTAAAATGTGGAGGCCGCCATACCTCAAACTTAGAGACCCCTCAGCCAAGAATACAACATGCCGCTAATCGGCACGGTAAGCAAGCTAAGAGGAATAGTAAATCGACCGATTTGGAATCAGAAAACGAGCAACCAGGTGGACCTAGCACACGTCTTCGAAAAAGAACTCTAAAGCCTACTAAACTTACAGAAGCGAAACTGAAAGATAAAAAACCAATTAGCAAGAAAAAGGTGAAGAATAGTTCATCTTTGAAGACTCCAGCAGGCCGTAGAGATTCAAAAGCAGCAGGGGATGAGGAATCAGAATATCTTTGCGACATCGAGGGTTGCAATATGAGTTTCGGTTCAAAACAAGAACTTGTTGTGCACAAACGAAATGTTTGTCCTGTCAAAGGGTGTGGGAAGAAGTTCTTCTCACACAAGTACCTCGTGCAGCATCGTCGAGTCCACATGGACGACCGTCCCCTTAAATGTCCATGGAAGGGCTGCAAGATGACGTTCAAATGGGCATGGGCACGAACAGAACATATTCGTGTTCATACAGGTGCCCGACCTTACGTTTGTGCTGAACCAGGATGTGGTCAGACATTCAGATTCGTTTCGGATTTCAGTCGTCACAAGCGGAAGACTGGACATTCAACAAAGAAAGGTAGATGAATGTGTTTAATTGACAGATTTAGGATATGATTAGATATAGGGATAGATTTAGAACATCCCTGTAATTATATATTATGATTCAGAGTAACAATTAACTCTGTTGTGCTGTCTGTTTTCGTTGGTGCTATATATTTTATGTAAACTGAGCAATTGCTTGGTTCTTCAAACATTCTTGGCCAATGAAGTCGGATGCTAATCCTGATCTTGGTGCTATATATTTTATGCAGTTTTCTTTTCCTTGTGCTTGATGATTTGCTTTTTAAGTTCAAATCTCTTCGTATAATGTCAAACCATTATTTCTTCGATCGAATTTGCTGCTAGTGGATATCATTTTTTTTGAATTTTTCCTTTTGGATTTTACAACTTTGTTTGTTAGGGTGAGATTTTAACGGTTCTTTTTTCCAAAGTTTTAAAAATGTCTGTTGGGGTGAGATTTTCACAGTTTCTCCTTCTACAGTTTTAAAACTCTGGAGAGAGATTTTCATCGTTCCCCATTTTAGAGTTTTAAACCGCGTTTGTTGGGGGGAGATTTTCACAGTTCTCCTTCTAGGCTTCCAGGGTTTTAGAACGTGTCCGTTGGTGAGAGATTTTCACAGATCCCCCTTTATGTTTCTAGAGTTTTAAAATGCGTCTGGTAGGGAGAGATTTTCACAGTTCCCTTCCAGGCTTCCAAGATTTTAAAATGTGTCATTGGTGAGAGGAAGAAGGAACCGAGAAGAAAGTATCAGCAACAACAGGTTTTATTACGGGACTTTCATAGTTTCTCCTTCTAGGCTTCGAAAGTTTTAAAACGTGGCTATTTAAGAGAGATTTTCACACCCTAATAAAGCATCTTTATATCGGTGGAATCTCACAATTACATAGATTTGAACTTCTACCTTCCATAAATAAACACAAAGGTAAAGTACATAGATTTGAACTCCTAACTTCCATAAATGAACACAAAGACTGCATTTTCAACCTCAAAACCTCTAATCTCAGAGCAAGGTAGCAGGAAAATTGAATGCTAGAATCTGCCATTTGGACACAAGTTGTGCGTCTGAATCTAGACTTTCTCTCTACCCTTCCATGCCTTATTTTGAGGTTGTTTTTAGCAATTAAACACATGGCTTTAATTATGTTACCAATGTCAGCTTAAATGCACTGTGATTCACACACCATTTCTTATAGAACTGGAAAGCCTTTTTGTTCTACTAAGTCAATCCATAATAAATAAAAACCACAAGTGGAGAAGTACTGATAAAAAAAAAGGGTTAAAGTTTAATATTCTTTGTTCTCTTCTTAAAGGGACCTTTTCCAAAAGCCTTCCCTTTACACATATTTATGCCATTTTTACTGAGATTCATGGAATCTTGAAATGGTTTTTGCAAATTTTCTACACAATTTTAGGTCAATAAATGAAATCCAACCCTGAAAGCACCCCACGAATCGTCTAGAAGAGAAGAAAGAGAAGGAATTTGAGTAACCCTTTTTTTTTTTTGTGCAAACTTTTCTTGTTTTTAGTTCTCATTATCGATTAGTGTCAAACCCAATTGCTATTTGCTACAAAAAGTTCATAGCTCTCCATGTATATTATTATTATCTGTAGCTAGGGTTTCTGGGTGTTCAAATGTGAGCATAATGGAACCTTCTGAAGCCGTTTCAGTCCCCAATCACTGTGAAGTATCGGCTTCTGAGTTTCAATCTTCTTCGCAGTTTCGTAGTTCTGTTCTTGATCCTGTGGCTACAGATGATCGCATCCATGCAGAGCTTCAGGAATTGGATTTGAAGGATGAGAAAGAGGAGACCGTGAAGGATTTTGATGACGGTGGAGAATGGGAAGTTGAGAAGAATCCCGATGAAGGTGAAGGAAATGATGCGAAGAAGATCGGTGAGAGTGATCGAGATAGAAGCGTTAGGAATGACGACGGCGATGACGATAACGATGAGGAGGTTCATGCAGCCGACGGCGACGGCGGTGAGGTGGAGAATAAAGGGGATTGGAGAGGCAAAAACAACCAGTATCCAGTACGACCGGAGGCGGAGGATTGTGCCTTTTACCTCAAGACTGGGACCTGCAAGTTCGGATCATTTTGCAAATTCAATCACCCTGTGCGAAAGAAAAACCAGGTTTGTTCTTGGCGATCTCTGTTTATATTTGTTTGTTTCGTTAAATTTCTTTTTCCAGTATGATCTTCAGCTGATAATTTGCATGCATAGTTTACAGTACATTTCTGTATGAACTTTCGTCTATTTGTTTTGATTAGAAACAAATAAAAATCATCAATAGAATTAGAAGTGCAAATGAGGAGGGCCACAAAGACTACTCCAATTGGCCTTGTTTTAAAGACTTATGCCGCATTCAACTGATAAAATTAGCTGGAAAGATCATAATATTTGTCTTTTTCTCTTCAATTTGAAAAAGTAGTCTTCACTCAGTCATCATTGTAACTGCTAGTAACGTATATCAGCTTGCTTAGTTTTGTTCGAGCTGAGACCTTTCTGTTTTTGGTGTCCACCCTCCTTTGGGGCTCAGTCTCTAAAAGCCCAAGTCCACTGCAGCGCTAGCCGATATTGTCCTCTTTAGGCTTCCCCTCGAGGTTTTTTAAAACGCGTCTATTAGGGGAGGTTTCCACACACTTATAAAGAATGCTTCGTTCTCCTCCCCAATTGATGTGGGATCTCACGACTCGTGTCCGTCCATCGCTTGTTTTATTAGTAAAAGGATGGATTGGATCTCCTATCTTATGATATTTTTGGTGTACTCACTTGTGAGAAATGAAGAATTGATATTTTGGGTTTGAGGAACTTTTTGGAGGACTCTAAAGCAGAATTGCTTTAACGTACTTATGTACTAGATAAGAACAAAATTTAAATTTGCAGACGACTGAGATTCTTAGCTATGTCTAGGTATCTTTTAACTTTTTTTCTGTTTTCAATGAAAGATTCAATGGGGTCGATGAAGAAGGCCAAAATTGTCAATCCAGTCCAAAAGGCTGAAGAAATATCTCGAGTGCTTTTGATTTTTGTGTATAGTCGAATAGTTTTTAATTTTATTCTTCTCGACTTCTTCTTTCGAATCATTTCTCACTTCATTCAGCGATTTCTCAGTTTTATTTCTTGTTTTAGACATCTGGATTTTGTTTTTCCATTGTTAATCTAGCTATTTCTCGTTGGACGACATTCTTCGTGATGGGTTTTGTTTTGTTTAATTTGAAAGGTTGTTTCTGAGAAATTAAAGTACGAAGACGATTCAGCTAGGCTGGCGGGCAAGACGGAATGCAAGGTTTCCATTGTGGTTATGATTTCATGAAAGTTGTTTCAAGTCTTTTACTACAATTATATGGTTTGATGCATTACCCAGTTTGCTTATTCTTGAATACTCTTTTACTGTACAAGATAGTGAAATATTCATTTTCCTTTGTGACATGCACCATTTACTGATTTACTGATATCAGTTAACCGTTACACCTCATGAGCCATTTGCAGTTTTATATGAGGACGGGGGGTTGTAAATTCGGGGACGCTTGTAGATATAACCACACGAGACCAAAAGCGTTGGCAAGCTCAATTCTAGAGCTTAACTTCCTTGGTCTGCCAATCCGACCAGTTAAGTTTGTTCTTTATCATCGTTTGATGGTGAACCTTTTCCAAATCTTTCATCATCAGCTTTGTAGACTCGATCTCTTATCTCACTTGTCTTGGAGAATTTAATGTTTTTTTTTTGACAGGATGAAAAAGAATGTCCCTTTTACATGCGCACCGGGTCCTGCAAATACGGAGCTAACTGCAAGTTTAACCATCCTGATCCCACAACTGTTGTTGTACCCGAATCTCCGTCAGGATATAACAATGGAGTGCCCCTACAAGGTGGATCACAATCACATATCCCATCCTGGAATTCACCAAGAGTACTGAATGAAGCTACAGCATTTGTACCTGCTGTGATCCCACCATCTCCAGATTCAGAATGGAACGGTTACCAGGTACTATCGCCTTTATCTCAGATTGCCGGGTTGAAAGTGTTTCAATATCTTTCTTGTTGGACTCGTGCGTAGATGTGTTTCTTGGAGTAATTTGGTTTAGTTTCTAGAACTCTTTGACTGACTTCCCCCATGGTATGTACAATGTTAAGGCTCCCGTATATCCATCAGAAATCAGCGTGCTTCCACCTCCGACATACGTCGTGATCAATATAGCATCTGAGACAGATATCTATCCTTCTCATCAGCAGGCGGAAGAGTATCCCGAACGACCTGGTCAACCTGATTGCAGCTACTTTCTAAAGACGGGGGACTGTAAATTTAAAACTCTTTGCAAATATCACCATCCAAAGAATCGGAACCCGAAGTTACCGGCTTGCACTCTCAATGATAAAGGCCTGCCTTTGAGACCTGTAAGCCCTCAAACTGAAGGGTAGTTCTTATTATATATTGACTTTATTCATTTACTGGACTTTCCGTATCTTTATATGGTTTCAGGATCAGAACATATGCACATATTATAGTCGTTACGGCATCTGCAAGTTCGGGCCATCTTGCAAGTTCGACCATCCTATGCTTCCAGCTTCCTCAACCGTGGGCGTGGGCGATCTTGAGCAGCAACCTCGCTACGGTAACTTTAGTGCTGCAGAAGGGGCTGAAATGGCTGGGGGAGGGAGCAGAAACAGCCCCACAGTTGAGCAGTCTGCATAAGTAGTTTGTGGTGAGGTCTGCTAGGTATAGGATTTTTCATGGAGCATTTGTTTCGGACAAGGATATATTCGACTCGGTCTCAGTCGGGTTGAGCTACCATGAGGTTTTTTTTCTTCTATAATTTACGTTGAACAAAGGAAAAATGTAAATTATACACACACTGGCTATAATCTTGTAATCTTAACTGGTGAGATTTGGAGATTGTGACAGTCATCGCCTGGCTAAACAGAGCACAGAAGGAACAATGCCCTTTTGCTTTAAGTTGTTTGATAAGAAGAATTACTGACTACTTCCTCAAAGCCTCCCTTTTCATTGATGACTTTACTTGAACAGGAACTGTTCTATTGGTTGTATAGGTTTACAAGACTGTGTTCATTAGTTATAGTCAGCATTTCGTCCTTTCAAATATCTTTGATGATGTAACGGCCCAAGCTGGATTCCACCTTGATTAGGGAGGAGAATGAAACATTCTTTATTAGAGTGGATTTGTAACGGTTTAAACTCACTACTAGTAGATATTGTTATTTGTTGACTTTTTCTTCTGGGCTTCCCCTCGAGGCTTTAAAACGCGTAGATGGATTGTGAGATCCCACGTCGATTGGAGAAGAAGATTTACTCGAATAGATCATCAATATTGATTTTTTCTTTTTACTTTTCATTTGCCTCGACTTTGATTCTTCCTCCATCCATTGTATTAGGACCCTTGTCAAAATCTTTGCCCCTTTCGTCGGTTCGTAAGACCCTCGATAGAGCCAACAAAGTTTGTTAGGACTAGTTTATTGTCCCATGGGTGTTACTATACTTATTAACGCCTTTTCCTATTTTCATGTGCATTTTAGTCTAGCTCAAACTCTTCTCTATTGAAATGGTGAAAATTGCAATAATTGTCGTCAGTTTCAGTTACGTCATTGTCTGGATCTTTCATACTAGGGGAGAACAAAAAACTGCTTTGTTTCGTTGTGGTTCTACTTTGAGAGTCGAGTTCTTGGTTTTCATGATGATGGTCACTCGATCTCATTTTTAATGATTTAATTACTTTTTTGGTATTTTTTTAAAATAATTATCTATCGTAACGAAAGAAGTCGATACGTGTGGAAACCCGAAGATTAACTTGGTATGTGAATAAATTTGAGGTTGGCATTGATAAAATTAGAGATTTTTGGTTAAAATTAATACAATCCATTAAAATGGCGCCCAAAGTCCAATTTCAGTGAACCGGGATCTCCATTCTCGCATTTCTTTCGGGTCCTGTCCTTCGCCCATCGGTTCCCGCTCTCACAAATCGCAAGCATCTGTGTCTTTGTCTCGCTTGTTCCAGGTCTTTTAGCCCTTGGCAGGAGTTGCATTGGAACCTCGGAGGGGCAAGTTTGAAGGTAGTGAAATTCCTAATTTATACTGTTCTTTTTCGCGATTTGTATGTTCAGTACATCATTTTGGTGATGATTTTTGGGGGCTTCTTCTATTTTCTCTTGTCCAGTCCATTGTTATCGTTTCAATTTGAATTTGAATACACATTTTCGCGGTTGTAAGAGCTTGAATTTGATCGTTTGTTTAGAATCGGACTTGGGAGCTTGATCCATAGGGCATGGCATATTCGGAACCTGCTAATGCTGAACGAGAGGTGATTCAAGTTAACAATGCTCAGAGGAAACCCAGGATTTTACTTGCTGCCAGTGGAAGTGTAGCTTCGATTAAGTTTGGGAATCTCTACCATTCTTTCTCCGAATGGGCAGACGTAAGAGCGGTGGCTACTAAGGCCTCTTTACACTTCATCGATCGAGCATCTCTTCCTAAGGATTACATACTTTACACCGATGAGGATGAGTGGAATGGTTGGAACAAAATTGGAGATAGTGTTCTTCATATTGAGCTTCGCCGCTGGGCTGATATCATGGTTATTGCCCCTCTGTCTGCAAACACGCTCGGCAAGGTACAGTAGTTTAACCAAGATTAAAATGCTTATTTCTGACCTCATTCTTCAAAAATATGCCGAGTGCGGGGATGAATGTTACTCAGACTTGGCAGCCAATATATGGAATCTGGCTCCTCCTCAAAATTGGGTTGGTCCGGAAATCTATCATCTTTGTGAATATCTGATTTGGTTTCTAGTTGGTTTATTTGTTTTATCGGTTCCATATTGGTTAAAGAGGTGTGTTGATGTCCAGCCTGTTTATGTACACTTTTGAATGCTGCTTAGTTTAAACTGTTATTATGTGTATAGTTACGGATCCATCTATATTGGATTTGGCTCACATGATCCATTGTGACTGGTACCGTGTGACTCAGAATTATTTTCCTGCTTTTCCTAAAGCTTCATTAGCTCAAGCCCTAAAATCACCGAAGAAAATAGAGTGTAACAGCCCAAAGAGGACAATAGCAGCTAGTGGTGGACTTAGGCTGTTACAAATGGTATCAAAGCCATACACAGACGGTGTGCCAGCAAGGGCGCTAAGCCCCAAGGGGGTGGGTTGTGAGATCTCGCATTGGTTGGAGAGGAGAACGAAATATTTCTTATAAGGTTGTGGAAACTTCCCCTTAGAAGATCGTTTTAAAAACCTTGAGGGGAAGCCCGAAAGGGAAAATTCAAAGAGGACAATATTTGCTAGCAGTAGACTTGGATTGTTACATAGAGTCCTTTAGATATTTTGTTTAATGCAATGTACTCCCATCATTTGTAGCTTGCCCAATGTTTTAAGTTCTTTCCCTTGTCTACATTTTATACATTATACTTGAGTGAGTCAGGGGTACATTTTTTCCTTATCTTACTCTGTATCTCTGTATCTTTTCACTGTAGCCTCTGTCTGTATTTGTAAATATTATGACGCATGGCATGCTACCTTAAAAAATTCTTCTTGAACTTGATGCTATCGCTTGCTCTCTTTTTTTTTCCCAGATTGCAGGCGGATTATGTGACAATCTATTGACTTGTGTCGTGCGAGCATGGGACTATAACAAGCCACTCTTTGTTGCGCCTGCCATGAATACCTTTATGTGGACCAACCCTTTCACCGAGCGACATCTCATTGCAATTGATGAGCTTGGAATAACTCTCATCCCACCTGTTACCAAGAGGCTAGCCTGTGGGGACTACGGCAATGGTGCAATGGCTGAACCTTCCTTAATCTTCTCAACCGTGAGACTCTTCTACGAGTCACGAATGCAACAAAGTGCCAAAAATGGTGAGTAGTTAGAACATGAAGACTTTGCCATGAGGAGGAGATGGAAAGGGTAATACATTTCCGCTTTGTTCACTATTATAAAAGTTGTAGCTGTTGCTCTTCAATATTGTATAAAATTCCTTCTTGTTTACCCCTTTGTGCTGTGAAGCCTTGGAACCTTATGTTTATGACATTTCTTAGCTTATGAATTGATCAGCTTCATATTTGGTCTCTATCCTTCTGAACAACAAAACCTACCTTCTAGCTATGCAGTGTTTGACATAAACCAAATTGGTACCTACAATCTTTCTTGTAGTCGAACTTGGCAACAGGATGGTCAGATACCCCTAATCTCACTGACTGTCGAAAACTTGTACGTATTTATTTCTCAATATTTACTCCAGCTTTCTGTCATTTGTGATTTCTCCAATATTGTTGGTGGAAACTGGTTGAGCTTAGTGTTGATCTGTATTGAGGTGGATCAATAAATGGGTGTAGATAAATCAGGTGAGTGTTGTTAATTTCTTTGTAGAACCTCATGCTTTTTTGTTTGAAATGAATTCACAAAAGAAAACGATCCATGAAGAGAGAGAGCGGCGTGCATTAAAATCGCCACCCAGAATGTAATGCTGGTAGTTTGCTGGTAGTTAAAACATTTAAAGGATGTGTACCAAACGGCGTAGCCCATAATTTCATTGTCAATAGGCTAAGTGCATTGCCTTTCTCTAAAGTTGCGAGAAATTTCTTTTAAGTAGGAACATAAAGGCAAAAAGTTGGTGATAATCGTCCTTATTGAATGCTCAACTAAATTTTCTCCTACTTCCTATCTAGACAACAAGGTTAAAGCTCTTACCTGAGTGGTAAAACACTTTCTCTGTGGCCTTTATAGTTTTAACAGTATCTTTACATTAATGACAAAAGGGAACTGGAAAGGACTGAGATGAAAACTTTAAAAGCATTGGCCAAACAATTTACTATATAAACCACAGAGAACATCCACAAAGTAAGAGCTTCTCATCAAGCAAAAGAACCTTGAAATGATGGTGGCATCCTGCACTGCCATCTTCATTCTCTTGTGTTCTTTTGTTTTGGCTTCTCCGACTGCAACCGAGACGCATCCACGTCTCTTCAATAAGATCTACGCCTTTGGCGACTCTTTCACAGACACTGGCAATACAAGGTCGGTATCAGGGCCAGCCGGATTTGGCCATGTCTCTAATTCTCCTTATGGTAGTACCTTCTTTCACCACTCGACCAACCGATATTCGGATGGACGACTGGTGATCGACTTTGTAGCTCAGTCACTGTCCTTGCCGTTCTTGCCGCCTTACAAATATTTGAAGGGAAATGACTCGTTTCATGGGGTGAACTTTGCTGTTGCTGGCTCCACAGCTATAAACCATGGTTTCTTTGTCAGAAACAACCTTAGCCTTGACATTACTCCTCAGTCTATCCAAACTCAGCTCCTTTGGTTCAACATGTTCTTGGAAACTCAAGGATGTAGAGGAGCAGAGACAAAGACACAGTGCAAAGCTGCATTTGATGATGCTTTGTTCTGGGTTGGTGAAATTGGAGTCAATGATTATGCTTATGCCGTTGGATCTTCTATCACTGATGATACCATTCGGAAGCTCGGTGTCGCCAGCGTCACCGGAGTTTTACAGGTAAATGACTTGACCTCTATGGAGTTTTTTAGGCTGTAAAATGTTAGAAATTTACTTATGTTAAATGAACTGAGAACTTTTCTTTGACAACGCCATTCTTTGCTTTTGGTTTGTTTTTCCAGTCTCTGCTGAAGAAGGGTGCAAAGTACATGGTTGTTCAAGGTTTACCACCAAGTGGATGTCTGGCATTAGCAATGTCTCTAGCTCCCGTCACCGACAGAGACGATATCGGCTGCGTGAGGAGCCTAAACAACCAAACCTACGTTCACAATATTGCTCTCCAAGCTTCATTGCAATCTTTAAGAGAGCAGTTTCCTCAAGCTGTCATCATATATGCCGATTACTGGAACGCCTATCGTATGGTTATGAAGAATCCCAGCAAGTACGGTTTCAGGGAGCGCTTCAAAGCCTGCTGCGGTGTTGGTGAGCCCTACAACTTCGACATGTTTACTGTCTGTGGAATGCCTTCTGTCAGTTCCTGCAAAAACCCACCTGAATACATCAACTGGGATGGAGTTCATCTCACGGAAGCCATGTATAAAGCAGTTCATGACATGTTCATTAAAGGTGGACTTACCCATCCAGCTTTGAGTAACCTGTTGGACATGAAACATCACTAGGGATAAGGTGCTGACAGTGATTCAGCTGGTTTTGTTAGCGTTTATCTTTGAGATCTCTAAGATTTAGCTATGAAACTAATGTGAGAAGTACTAGTTGAAACTTATGAAATGAACCATTATTTCGGACCCTCCATGAAAGATGTTAACTGAAAAAACCTTGAGGAATCAAACCTGTCTATCCATAACGCCTATTTCATGGCTTCTTTCAAACTCTGCTAGTAGTGAATTTGAGCTATTATAGATGGTATCAGAACCAGACATCGAACGGTGTATCAGAACCAGACATCGAACGGTGTGCCAGCAAGGATGGTGCACCTCCAAGAGAAGTGGATTGTGAAATCCGGTATTGGTTGGAGAGGGGAATAAAACAGTTTTTAGAAGAGTGTGGAAACCTTTTTCTAACATACGCGTTTTAAAATCTTAAGAGGAAACCTTTGAAGTGAAAGTTCAAAGAAGACAATATCTGTCAGTGGTGTGTTTGGACTATTACATGTATTCTAAACTATACAACAAGAAAAATAATTGATATTGTTTGAAATTAATTAGAGAAAAGAACAGATAACCACCCATAATTGTCATTTATTTATTGAGTAGGTAAGGTTAAATTTTTGTCCACATTTTAGTATTTTGAAAGGATCAAAATAACTGCTTCATCAGACATCATGCGACTATCATGTCAAAACATGTTATGTAACGGTAAATTGTCATGGGAAGGGTGAATAACGTAAAAAACTTTTTTTTTTTTTTTTTTTTTTTTAAATTACAAAGTTTTTGCCTTTAATTTTCAAATTTATATTTATTTAATCTCTAAAATTTAAAAGTTGTCTAATAAATATCTAAATTTTTATTTTTATGGTCAATAAATTTATAAAATTAAAATTTTTTGAAATAAGACCTATAAAATTTAATTTTGTGTTAGTTTAAATTATTAAATAAAATAAATGATTAATTATTATAGAACTAAATTTTATTTTTAATGGAATAATAATTTCGTGTCGAAAGGACCGATTAAATACAAAATACAAAATTAGTGAATCTATTAACCACTTTAAAGACATAAGGTCAATTTAGTCATATTTTTTTCAATTTTGGGACATTTTTCATGTTGGAGATAAAAAAAATAAAAAAAAATAAATAAATAAAAAAGAGGACTATCCGCCCCAATTGTCGAGGCCCAAAAGGTTTATTGGGCCTTGGGCTCGACAAAAAGCCCAAGTTTTTCTTCTTCCTCGAGTAAGACTTGGCGCTTGCAGGCATGCATTTTGCAAAGCAGCTCGTCATTGAACTCGGCGAGTTAAACCGGAGCTCCCCCGGTGGCTCTGCGGCTTCGACGAAGGCATTGCCAGACTGGTCTTGAGCAAGAACAGTGGCTCGTGATTCTAGGACTTGATCATTCTTCATAAAGAGTTATCGCCTTTCTTCAAATTCCCCTTTGATCTTTTTCCTTCTTCTTTTCCCTTTATTTCGACTGTCACTTGCTTCAAGTTCATTGTTTTTTCAAGAACATTCTTAGCTTTATTAATGCGTTGAAGGATCCTTCAAAATGCCGATTGAGGCTTCACATGAAAGCTGTAGGAAGCTTTCTGTCTCGTCGGCATCTGAATGAGAAGTGCATTATAGTTGGTTTACGAGGCTGAACTTGGTTAACCCTTGGGAGTTGCAGCCGCTTCGATTTTCCTATTAGAACTTACTAATCTCACTATTTATTTTTGTCAACTAGCATGATCGGGTTCTAGTTTTTCTTTTCTGTGCCTTTTGTTGGAATGTTCAGCTTTATCTCGAACCTGTCCTGTTTACTCATCCTTGAACTTGAACTGCAGTGGTTTTGACTTCCCTTGTGCTTACATGGTGGATTTGAAGACGTATAAATTGCTCTGGAAAGGGATTGATTTAGTTGATGTGCTTTTAAAAATTGATCTAATTATGAATGCCTCTTTGAATCCAGGAAGTATTTCACCGACGAGAGCATCATTTTTATCATAATTGTTTGCTTCTCTGAAATTTAATTTTGAACCTCTTTGTTTTGGATAACATCCACATGGGTTTTCTTTACTCTTCTTTATCTCTGTGCTAACGATCATTCTCTGTTGCATTTCAGTATAGGGAAGTAAGAGATGAGCAGCAAGGTAGAAGCCTGTCCAGAATGCACCCAAAGATGCTTACGTTTTCATAGAAAGACAGGGAATTCATCATCTGTTACGTCGTTCTTCAAAGTTATGTTTGGGGATCGCTTTTCTGAAGTTGTGGTATGATAATATTTCCAAAATTGTTTCCAACTTTCTAATTTTTGGTATTTGTTCATGTTAGCTCTTTACAATCCTTATGTCTGTTTTATACAAAATGGTAAATTGCTAATTGCTTGTGGTGTTCGAGGACAGTGCCTCGTTTAAGATGTTGAAATTCTTATAACTATTAGATATTGAATGGCAACCCCTGAGATCTTTCCTTTTGAAATATCTCCCTATCTCTGCCCCTGCAACTTATTCTATTTTGACAGTGTCTATGAGTTCATCCAGTTCCCTTGAGTAGTTATGTGCTACAAGCGAAATATTTTTTCCGAGCTAACATTTTTTGCCATTGATGCTGCATTCTGTAATTTTATTGTTTTATAATTACATTATCTTTTGCAGTTCTTCCCACCTATTTTTGCATCTACCGTGTCGAAGTTGGTTAATAAAAAGGTTGTTCTTGAGGATTCTCTTGGACAACAATGGAAGGTAACAGTATCCAATTGCGAAGGATCTCTTGCTTTTCAAGAAGGGTGGAGTGCTTTTTCATCAGAGCATAGCTTAGAAATTGGAGATTTTGTGATCTTCAATCACATCATGGACTTGCACTTCAATGTTAGTATCTACACTAAAACTGGTTGTGAAAAAGTATGGTTTGCTGAAAAAAGCTATACGAGGAAAAGAATTAGAAGTACTTGTCCTGTACTTGAGATAACTAATGAAGGTTTGTCAAATCCACAAGCTTCAAGCCCCTCTGTGGGTTCTGGATCCAATGTGACACTATCTCAAGATAAATTTCACGTGGCTGGTTATCGAAACATGAATGTATACCAGGGTAAAAGGCGAAAGTACCAGAGCAACGATGAATGGCATGGACCTTTAAACATTGTTGATGATTCGTATTGTTTAATCGACAGGAACAAGGATGTAGGACCGGAGGAAAACAGAAGCCCCTTATTTAACTTGTTTTCCATGGAAATGCAGATGGTCAATTCCTGCATCAATGAGAATTCCACAAATAAAGCTGCTCAGGATGAGATAAACCCGAACTGTGCTTCCTCATCGCAGAATACTATAATCAGTGTCGGCCCAGTTAACAGTGTTCCAGTAGATATAAGAGGAGACACGGAAGTATTGCCTTCAAATGTATCTGCTAACAAGATAAATGATAAAAGACAGTGTTTTGAGGAGGCTGACATAAAGATGAGTGTCTCTGGTAAAGATCCTTGCCATGACAGGACTATAGAGGTTCCTTTTATTTCATCTGCAACAAACTCCGATCAAAAGGGGGAGCCTTTTTGTGACATGCCATTAAAAATCATAAGAGACTACCAGAATGTACCAGCAATGTGCAACACAGTATCGAGTGAGTACTGAAGTGATACAATACATTTCTAATATTCGGGACGACTTTCACAACTAATTATGTGTTAATATATATTTCAGCAATTACAAGACATGATCAGGGGTCTAGTGTGAAACAGGAGTACCCTCCAAATTCCTTGAAGGTTAAAAAATGTCTGCACGGTTTGCTCTCTATTCAGATTGCTCCTTATGCCTTATAATTTTCGATTCGTTCTTATCTGTAGAAAAATAAGCTTCATTTCTTGCCTTCCAGAATCTGACAATGTTGTAACGTTAGCTCATTGCGAATGCTGTATTCAAACAGGGGACGAGAAAAAGATCATTAAAATGGAACCATTGGAAATCAAAACAGAAGTGAACAACTGCGGAGATATCACTGAACAAATATGTAATCCAACTCAATTTATCACATCATTTCCTTGCAATTTGTGGTTTTGGCAAGTCTAAATTGAGATTTCTTTTGCTTACAGTGGAGCCAAAAGTCATTAAGGAGGAGTTCCTTGAAACGTCTAACCAAAGTGGTAGAGAAAATAATGATACCACTGATAATGCAGATCCGATTGGAACTCCAGCCCATATCTCCTGTGTAGTGGCTAAAGATACTCTATCCTTTCTGGTACGCTAATGCCAACTCTTATTTCGTTAAGCGTGTAAAATTTATTCATGTAAGTTTAATGGTTATATAACATGCTCTAGTTTAGATTTGACAGAAAATTGGTATTGATATTGGACCTCTACTCAAAAACCTCTCATGAGCAAGCACATTAGATATTTACCTAAACCGATTGGTAGAGGTCCTTTAACAAATCTCGTGTTAGTCCCAAGACATAGATGCTTACATACACACTCATATATGGACATATTTATGTTGTGATATTGTATGACTGAGAGTACTAATTGCATACAAACGATGCATGGATGCATCTTCACATTCCATTCTTCATGTATGTACTCAAAGAAGCTCAGAGATTCACAGATGATCTTGATTCGTTTCTGACTACTCGGGCGTTTCCTACATGATATGAGCTAATTACTTGTTGAATCTTTACCATTTCTCACTTTGTTCCTGCTACCCATAAAGGAGCTGCCGATGACTTTTCACCTACCATGTTCAAGAGGTCGTAGAAATCCAGAGAATAAGAAGGTAGTGTTTCTGCGGGATCCCAGTAAGAGATTGTGGCCAATTCTTTACCATGAGATGCCTAATGTTCAAGTTCTAACAAGTGGGTGGGAAGCTTTTTGCTGTGCAAATAGAATCGAATCTGGGGACGAGTGTTTGTTTCATGTCAAGGACGAGCTCAAACGTGAATACAACATTAGCATTAGGAAATGTAAAAACTAGCTGATTACATAATTCTAGAACGCTTACTTTTGGGTTTCCTGCTCAAATCTCTTGGAAAAAAAAGAGAACAGGTCTCAGAAAAAGTTTGGTGAAAATCATATTGATTACCATATTTGCTTGACATTTTTTCTCTCCTTGAGCGTTTTTTGTTAGACGGCACAGCATATGCAAAGCAATGACTTCAGAGTGAAGGTTTTG